ATATTGACACGGTCAAATTATACAAAAACAATCAAATCTGTAAAATATTAGGTGATTTTTTTTTTGGAGTGAATATTAGGTGTTTGATTTTTAGAAAGGCTTAAAAATTCAAAAGCTCGTACCGTGAACGTAAATATTGGTGAATGAGGACAGCACGGCATAAAGATGACGGTGAGCAGAGGCGGAGAGCTGCTAAGGGCCCCGCCCACCAACCAAAGGTTTCAAATTTTACAGTTTCTCTTTGAGTTTTTAATGAATTTTATAGTTTTGTCTTTATTTTTTAAAATTTTTTTAAAATTTTACCCTTGTAAATATTAAAAATATTATTTTTATCCCTACTAACTTGAAATCTTAATTCCATAGGTATGATATAATTCGACCTCTGAACATAGAGAAATTAACAAGAAAAAAAAATAAAAAGGCTATCCTGCAGTCTTTAAGTAAGCTCGGGGCTGAGGCACTCAGGCATAGGCACCCGTTCTCATTTTATTTCTTTGGACTTTTTGAGAACCCAGATATATTCCAGGGAGAGGAGTTTGTACATTTGCAAAGCTATGGACTCAGGGGTGGCAAAGCTAGGGAGCTCTCTCTTGGTGCCTTGTGTTCAGGAGCTAGCAAAGGGGCCATTAGTAAAAGTTCCACCTCGATACGTTCGCACTGATGAAGAGCCTCCCATCTTATCTGACACCAATTCGTTGCCACAAGTCCCTGTTACAGATATGCAAAAGTTGTTTTCTGAAGAATTTAAGGATCTCGAGCTGGAACAGTTGCAACGGGCATGTAAAGAGTGGGGTTTCTTTCAGGTACTTTAGTTGTTTTCTCCTATTATCTGCAGCTTGAAATTTCCGTTTAGGCTTAGTAAATGTCACTATTAACACTTTTCAAAAGAAAAATGCCACTATTAACATATATGGATATATATCAAGCTTTGGGATAAAAGATGCAGTGCTTAAATAGTTAACGAAGGTTTAAGTCATCAACTAGTAAGAAAAATGTAGACAGAGATTTGGCAGGACTGCGTGAAATTTTGGGTTTGAAATATGGAGCTGTTGCAGTTAATCAACCACGAAGTGAGCACTTTATTGGTGGAAAACGTGAAGTTAGAGATCCAAGAGTTCTTCAATCTCCCAATGGAAGAGAAGAAGAAGTTTTGGCAAAAACCAGATGACATCGAGGGGTTTGGGCAGGCGTTTGTTGTTTGTGAAGAGCAGAAGCTTAACTGGGGAGACATGTTCTACATGGTCACCCTCCCAACTTATTTGAGGAAACCTCATCTATTCCCAAAGCTCCCACTTTCGCTAAGGTTCTTTCTCTTAATCTCTTTCAATAATTGAAGTGATGTAAAAGATACTTCTCTGGAATTAATAACTATTGCTAGATTTTAGTCTTGATATATTGTTGCTACATGCTAAAAAACAATAAGTCCCCTTCCCAAAATAAAAAGGGCAAAAACAATGTAAGAAAT